GTAAATGATTAATAAGAAATTTCGGGCTTATCTTTCTTATCGCTCGACTTTCATCGAACGAAAAAGAAAAAAAAAAGAATTAAGAAATTAAAAAAAAAAAAAAAATGTAGAAAGAGAAAAAAACGAAAGAGATAACTAACTCATCGGCGTGCACAATTATAACTGCACGGTGCGAATGAACGAGAACTTTTAGTGATAGATCAGAGAGAAAGAGATAGAAACAGAGAGAAAGAGAGAGACAGAGAGAGAGAGAGTACAGTTCATTCCCAACTTCATGCTCTAACATAGAAACGAGATTCTTCGTCGAGACTGTCGCCATATCGTCCCACACATGTATCACTTATTTTCACAAAACTGCCGATTTTTTTCCTTTCTTCCATTCTTTTTACTTTTCTTCTTTTTCTTCTACTTCCTTAGGTATTCCCTATCACCTCTTTTTTTTTTTTTTTGTACCCTTTTTTCCTATTTCATTTTCCTTCACACACATACACGCGCGCGCGCATACATGCACATCACCGAGCTGTTAACGTTCTTATTCAATTTCATTCGACATTGTTTCTTTTACTTTCTCCTTCTCTTTTGTTTTTCCTTTTTCTTTGTTTTTAATCCTCTCGCGATATATTTGCGAAGGGCAGAAAGAATTTTGGCGTGCTAAATTTAGTACGACGTTATCGCGAAATAACGCTATCTTTCGACGGTCAGGATGTCATGGCTGGATATGTTCGTATTCGAAACTAACCTAAATCAAACGTCTTTTTCTTCTTTCGTTTCTTTTTTATTTCTTTTCATACTTTCATTTCTCTCTCTCTCTCTCTCTCTCTCTCTCTCTCTCCCTCCCTCCCTCTCTCCCTCTCTCCTTCTCTCCCTATCCCTCTCTTACTCTCTTACACAAATATACATATGTATTTGAGCAGCCAATCGTTTAGCTTTTAATTTAAATTTATAAAAACGAAACAGAGGTGATAAGAATGAACACAAGTGATAAGAATGACAGAGAGAATCTACTTTTACCACGTGTCACATTATTTTTATTTTCATTTTCATTTTTACTTTTATTTATTTATTTATTTATTTATTTATTTATTCATCCATCCATCCATCGAATCCATTGAAATAAAAATTGAATATTGCATTCAATATGTCTGACAATAATAATTACGTAGGTTAGAAACTTTATTAACTTCTAATACGTTGATGCATACACACATACATACATACATACATACATACGTACATACATATGTATATACATATATGGATATGTACATACATATATGGATATGTACATACATACGTACATACTTAGATACATAAATACTTATATATGTAGGCTCGGTATTCGCGTGATAAGAATCGAACGCGGATCGTGCGTGTCTCCTCCTCTTTTACTCGTGTTAAACGAGCGCGCATATATATATATATGTACATGTATATATATATATGTATATACGTACATACATATGTTGCCGAAGAGGATCGAAAAGGAACGAAAGAATTCGCGAAGGAACGATGTTTCGTAGCCGTGAAGAGCCACGCGATTCGTTCGACTTGCGTCGCCCGATGATGATGCGGCCCAACAAGTTCGTCCCTGTATAACAATTTTTCTTTCATTTCTGGTTCTTTTTTTTTCTTCTTCTTCTCCTTTTTTTTTTTTTTTATACATCTTTTCCAAGTTCGAGCTCGAGTTCGAGTTCGAATTCCATAGAAATTGCGAGGGGGAGAAAAGAAAAGAAGTATTTAGTCCCCCCTTCGATCGTTATTGGATTCGTGTGTATAGGTGTATATACATATTATATATATATACATATATATATATATATATATATATATATATATATGTACATGCTAACGGAATTGAAGATTTTTTTAGTTCTATGTCTATTTGTAGGCTCGTAAGTTTGAGAATAAGAAAAGAAAAAAATAACGTTTATTACATAGAGCTTAAAAAAAAAAATATCTTCTCTAAAAAACAAGATTTCCTTTCTCAAATATTATTATTAAGTAATTATTTTCTTCTTTCTCTCTGTCTCTCTCTCTGTCTCTTTTTCTTTTTCTTATCTACCACAATCTTCTAAATTATCGACGAACGATACTTTCTATGCATAAATTATTTATATAAATTGGCAATCGTGGAAATATATGTTTTATTCCATATATATATTTACATATTTATATATATATATATATATTTATATCGTTCACTGGTATCAGCTAGTTAAAGTAATCACTTTTCTCTCTTCAGTTTTATCATTAGGCATATATGTATACGTACGTTGTTCTTCCGTTGAGAACAGTTAGTACGATAAATTTTCTCAAGAAAAACAATGTCTAAATATAAATGGAAGAAAGAATATCTTACGAATGTGAATATCTTTTGCTCTAGTCTAAAACCATTGTTTCCATTCCTAATCTCTTTCTATAATAGTTTCTAAGCGATTCGAAAAATCCTTTTTTTCTTTTCTCTCTCTCTCTCTCTCTCTCTTTCTCTCTTTTTCCTTGTACAAAGGAAAGAGAAAAGAAAAAAAAAAAAAAAAGAAAAGAAATCATAACTTCAAAAAGTTTATAAAAAATTTTGGGAAAGTAAAAAAGAATAAAGGAGAAGTGATGAAAAGTACTGAAGTTTATATTTTGTAAACTTGCTAGAAGATAGGTTAGATGTAACTATAGGTATAATTGACGTGTTCGTTCGTGCGAGGTCAAAGAAACACGAAGGAGTAGTGACCCCGGTTACGCTAGAATAAATCGACCTAGGTGAGGCTAAGCTAGAATGCTTTCTAGGCGTCGTATCGTAATTCACCTAAGGTCAGTGCTATAATGTCGTACACGTTATCATCGTATAGTTGTTATTAAATGAATAGATAAAATTTTTGTTATATTGATATTATTTAGAGAGATTGGAATATATGAATTTCGATAAACGTATACGCATTCTTTTTCTCTTTTCTTCGTTTTTTTTTTTTCTTTTCTTTCTGCGACTTCAAACAGCCGTCGGAAAATAATTTTATCGAATTTTTATTTTACTTAGAAAAAGGTTACCCTTCACTTTTCGAATACGTTCATTCTTCTTCTTCTTTCCTTTTTTTTTTTGGTCCCTTTTAATAACTAAAATCGCAGTGGTGAAACAATTTTTCGAATTTATTATATCGAAGAGAAAACTCGATCGTGGGGGAAAAAAAGGAAAGCTAATAATAAGCACGATGATTGATACAGTCAGTAAGCACGGAGAAAAATATAAAAAATAAAAAGGTTCTAGTTAGATATTGAACGATCTAGGGTCCCTAGAAGAAATGCACGTAAGACGCATTTTCAATTTACGATATTTTGAATTTATTTTGTTTAAAAGAGAAAAGAAAAAAGTACGAAAAGTAAATAACGAAAAAATAAGGAATAAAAAAAGAATATATGTATATATATATACATATATATACTATATCTACTTAAAAAGTAAGAACACACGTGGTGTCGTAACGACCCACCCTTCTTTTGCATTCGCACCCTCGAAAACCAAGAGCAGTATGCTTTCCTGCAAGAGTACTGACTGACTGCCCCTTCCCTCCTTTCCCTTCCATTTCCTTCCCTTCCCTTTGAAGGTTTTTCCTTCTACGGATGCACGGGGCGGAGCCTCCGTCGTAGCTGCATCGAAAAGAGAATTTTCTCAGTGGCACGTAGCCCGGCCCAGTCGGATTCGTATTAGGGTCTTTCCTACATGAATGGCCGTGCCCCATGTTTTTTCTCTCTGTTTCTCTTTCTCTCTGCCTTAATGCACACACGCATACATGCACACATATGCATACAGAACGTATTATACAATACAATGGAGTAACTGGAGTTGTCCAACACTCTTTCAAATTTTTTTCAATTTTTTTTTTCTTTTCCTTTTTTTGTTTCTTCCTTTTTTTTGTTTTCTTTTCTTTTTTTTTGTTTTTTTTTTTTTTTTTGTTTTTTTTTTTTTTTTTTTTTTTTTTTTTTTTTTTTTTTTTTTTTACTTAACCGTACAAACGAATACGAATAATTCGTTGAGAACATTTTTTGATGTTTCGTACTGGTTGGGTCAATTACTTACTCTTCTTCGGGATATTTTATGATGCCAATTATTTTTTTCTTCTCTCTCTTGTTTTTTTTTTTTTATTTTCTCAAATCGTAAAACTAACAAGCACAAAAAGTCCAGAGGAAAAATAGGATTTTTAAAAAAATCATCTAGAAATTTTCGATTTCGCCCTCCCCCTCAGACTGTTCGTGTTTACTTCATCGTTGATATTTAATTTTGTATAATTTTCTGTTGATAAAATATTTTATCATGCTTCGCATAGCATGTTAACCTCTTTATGTGTTTATTCATTTATGAATGGAGAGTATTTTGTGCAGTTTGTAACTAAGGTAATTCAATTTTAGAAAGTAAGTTTTACATCTCCGTTCATTTCCATAGTTTTCTTCTTATAAACTTGTTTTTTCTTTCTTTTGTTTTTGTTTTATATTCTTCAAATTAGTTATTGCCAGTCTATTTATATTTATGACGTTATTTCCATGGACAATAATAATAATAATAATAATAATAATAACAATTTGTAATTTCCAACATGGCGTCCCTTCACTATTTTCATTTCGATTAAATTTATTGCTCGCTTTTGGTTAGTTCAATTTGTATTATTAAAAAAAAGAAAAGAAAAAAAAAAGGATTTAGTATACTTAATATATTTTTTAAAGTGAACAGTAATTTTTATGGATTAATTTATTTCGTAATTATTACACACACACACACAAACATATATATATATATATATATATATATATATATATAGCTCATATATTTATGTCTGTTTCATTGAAAATATTTTTAAATAGAAAATATAGATAATATCTATTCGATATAAATTTCTTCCTTATTATTATTATTATTATTATTATTATTATTATTATTATTTCATTTTTCTCTTTCTCGTTTAATCATTTCTCGGATAATTTAATCGTCGTTCATAGCCGTCTCTTTGGAATTAGTTTCT